CCTTTTCTGAAGTCATTCAGGTTACCTCGCTGACTGCTCCCACGACATTGCTCCCACGACATTACCGGCCCGTCACTTGCACCCCGAATGAAGTCGGGCGTGCTTTCTCTGCGCGACGTCACATTCAGTACGAGAATTCATTCTCTCGGAGTTTTGTTGTCCTTTCGGCGGACATCGAGGTTGCTTCCCACGCCGCGCCGCGCGCCCGCGCGCTCGCCCGTGAAACCCGATTTTAAACGCAGGGCGTGTAGTGCGTGGGTTGGCGGCAGGACGCCGTGGAAACCGGAGTCCGCACGTCCTTGAGGGGGGTGGGAGCGGTGAACGCTTATCAAGTCACCCGGGCGGAACCGAATATTTCGGAAGTTCAAGGCCGCGAACTCTGTACTGGATGCGCCGTGAACTGGACGTTCACGTTAGAGTCTTAGAGATTCTCCTTTGGCCATAAACCACCTTTTGAATATAGGAGCGACATAAATGGTTCATCCGCAATACCGTTAACTGTACGTATCGTTGATTTATTTGTACGGCGGTAAAGTCAAATTTGATCATAGGACCGTCAGAAATGGTTCAGCTGCAACACAGTTAATGCAACACAGAAATGGTTCATCCGCAATACCGTTAACTGTACGTATCGTTATGGAGCTTTATTTCTACATCGATAAAGGCAAATTTGATCATAGGACCGCCTGAAATGGTTCAGATGCAACACAGTTAACGGCTGCATTGTTGATTGAGGTTTCATAGGGTTTGAAAGTCAATGGTGGCGGAGTTTTGGCATTAACAACATAGCTGGGTCGATGTCAACATGTCTGGAGTACAATTCTAGCGGGGGACTGCGCTGATCGATCTGGTAATTTTTCGTAGTTTCTCCGATCAATACCAGGCGAATGCCGGAGCAGTACCCTAGCAAACGGGCCACGGACCGCGCGATCAGACCTTCCTCTTCCTTGTCCTACCCTCATCCCTTACTCTCACACACACTTACGTGCACTACACTACCACACATGGCGGGAGACCGGTCTGGAACTTAGATCTTGCCGTGGCTGAGGCCTGCTGGTGGGAGATACCTGGTTGCGAAAAAACCGATAGCCGACGTTAGGTCCTCACCGTATCTCGCCATCCAGAGGTGGAAGATTACCGCCACCTCACGAGGCAAAATCATGCACTACATTTTCGGGACTAATGACGACTTAGCAGTTGACGCGCCCGGAATAACTAACAATCAATCAGATGAAGCAATTAAGTAATCATAGGCAGAGAAAATTGGAGAACCCCATGAAAACCTGTTGCGAACGAGCACTGTCCACCGCGTTGTTCCATGCGGATCGACAGGCATTTGACCCCTTCCACAAGGTTGATCGCGTCAAGGGTCGCACAGATTACTGAATAATCTATTTGGCTTCAATTCCCTATTTATAACACGTCATGTTAGCTCCGAGTTAGCTTATTAGCTCTGCCACTCGTATGCCCTTGGCTCATCGCAAATCAGCCTCTATCAGGCTACCCTCTCTTGCCGCAGCCCCACCGTCCCAAAACTCAGCGATGAACTCCGACTTGCCCCACTTATTCCGCGGCGCCTTGAACCGCTGGCGAGCGACCGCCAGGGCGAACGCGCGCGGGGGGAGGGGGCGGGGCCATATTTCGCGCGCGTCGTCTGAAACACGGCGATCGATGGCGGCAACGGACGGCGAGACGATGTCGGCGTCGTCCTTCGCACGCCCAAGTGGAGCGGAAAGCGCGTCTCCGCCCCCATGAGCCCCCATAAAGGCAATCAGAGCGGAATGTCAGCAGCCGCTGACGGGAAGGCGTGCGGCGTGCCGCGGCGGCATTGAGGAGGTGTCGCTGACCGAGGGTCACTCGTCATCCGTCCGCCCGCCCGCGTCGCGCGGTTCTGGAACGGACGCTCGCGATGTCTGCGTGGCGACGTCACCTGGAAGTCGTTGGGTTTATGTCTTTTGCACGACTGGTCGTGCTTACCGTTCTCGAAATTCTAAAGCCTGTGGAGAAGTTCGAAATGTAGTCATTTGTGGCCGTTTTGTGTGATTTAAGTTACATCCCGTTATTGACCTACGAAATATTTGTTTGGTTGCATTTCGTTAGGAAACTACATATTCTGTACACGTAAGCTTCCGCGGATCGAGTCCATAAATTCTCGGCTATCCGGGAGAGGGATCGGCTAGGGTGCCGACGTCTCGCCTGACATGTCGCAGGCTTCCTCAGGGCAGTGACCAAGCACTGTCCTCAGGTCACTGAGATCTCTGAACTGAGGAAGCCTGCGACATGTCAGGCGAAACGTCGGCACCCCAGCCAACGACGCGGCCGAATAGCCGAGAATTTATAAACAGCATATTCGTAAATTCGCCATCGGACGCTCGGCTGGTGTCTTTCAATCAAAGTGTGCAGTAGTGGAGCACAATGGAAAATTCATTTTCATTTCATGAAATTAATTTTTATTTATTTTACTAATCTTGTATTTAGGTTCATTTTGAGGGCGTGGCATGGCGCGCACGACATTGTTGAGGATGTCGCTGGTAGAGGCCTCTACGAGAACCATTGTTCCTCCTTCCGCCATATAGGGGTTCTCAGATGAACGTGGTAAGGCCTGTGTACCGATGTTGCCTAGACGGATATTTTTCTTTTGCTCGATTGTTCTTGTTGATTTTCGTGCAGGAAATTACTGCAGAGAAAAAGTTCTCATAAGAGAATAATAATCAGTTACATTTTGTGTTTTCTTCATGATTTAGATAATGATTTTTAAATGTAATGAGTTGTTTAATGTATGGTTTTATTGGATTCACTGGAAGATAACTGTTTAAAAATTGCATTAGCGTGATTATTCTGCCTAAATATCGTTCTCGGATGTCAGGGATGATGGTTTGATGGATGATGATTATAATGAGAAAAGACGAATAATAAATGTGGTATCTGGTATAGGGAAATCCCGATGATATGTAACAATAAACTACGGTGAAGAAGGAGTGTGTCGTCCTATAGAAGGTGAAAAGGAATGCGTGGGGATTTGTTAAGTACATATACATATAATGTTGAAGTGATCCTGGTAGAAAGAGGTAAGATCGCGTTTGTGTTCGTCGAATGCAACTCCCCGCAAATTCTACAAAGATCTTCATCTGAATTGACGGAAGTAATCGTAGCTTACAGAAATTTCTACGCGTCCCTATGGAAATTCAATTAGTTTTTATTGATGTTCAAAGCAAGCGGATTAGCACAATGTCACTAGTAGAGTTTTTGCCTGACATTTGACTGAATAGAATTGCGGTGCCGAAGTATTATTACTCCAGTGTCATGAGTTTCTGTTGTGTAAGATAGAAAGAAATTCAAATTACATCAAAGAATATACTTTGGAAATTTGTTATGTATTTTACTGATTTTTTATTTTCTCGCTGAGAATACGTGCATACATACTTATTTACATCGATTTATTCATTTACTTAAGTGTTTAGATATAAAATATTACTGTAAATTCAGGATGACAATTGAGCTACAAAATCGTAGCAATGGTATCTTTCGATGAAAAAAGTAATTACAAAACATGATTAAGAGAAGAAATTTAAATTCTCAATGAAGAGACGCTCAGATCTTCCTAAAATACGAAGTCTTCAAATTTTGGCGAAAGTCATAAAATGAATTTCAGTTGCGGTACATTAAATGCAAATGCTTGGTTAATAACGTATCTCAGCTCCCAATAACTCTTCCCGATTTCTCTCTTTGCGGTTTTAAACCTTAGAACACTTCCACAAGCTTCCACAGTCCAAGGCGTCGGTAATTGACCGAGAGACCTAGGAAGCCAGGCTCTCATTCCAGGCAGTACATCGCCTTCACGGGCGCACCAGCTTTTTCCCCAGCCGCCTTCATCCTCTCAAATGGACCACACGTGCACAACAGCTGACACAGTCATTGATATACAAGGTTACCCTTGTTCGAAAGAAGCATTTTTGCTTGTCTGCTGTTGCTGATAGGTCGTTTGAAACGTGCCAGTTCAGAGCTTTTTGTGCTTTGGGAAACGTAACCGCAACGTCACTTTGGCAACAGAATGGTATTACGACTTGTGGAATAGTACGGGTGTATCGGGGATCATAACTCAGAATAGTGAAATTAATTTGAATTTCTTATTCGACCGTCTATAATAATACTATCAGACGTTTAATATAAGACAATTCTTATTTATAGCTACTCAGATCTTTTTGTAGTGGCGATGATAAGAGGTAGCTTGTGTTGAAAGGGGGTAGCAGGAGAGCTAATTTTGTACTATCATTGTTTGTAAGGAGTCTGTGAATGCTCAATTTATTTCAAATGAAAAAGAACTGATACTCTATAATTAGCGAAACTGGCAGAATTCAAAATGCATGTTACATATTTTGAAGTTTTAAATCAGTCATCTTTAACAGATTTTCTGGAGACGTCTGAGGAGAGATCCCAGTTCAAAAATAAAAGAAAGTGTTCCCTTGCCGAAAAGGTACCATTTTCTCAAAATTACTTTTTCGTGATGCTTTCTCTTAAGAGAAAAATATAATTCTTAAATGACATTTCATCAATGAAACATCAAAAATCAACTGGTCAGAGAGTACCATTCGAGCCGGTGTGCTCTGTCATTTTCTTATGGTAGACATAAACCGCTATACGAGTATGTAATAAATGGCGTAAGGCTAGCACTCTCAACTTCCAAATCTGAATTCAAATTAATTTACTTTCTGTTTCTGATCATGATGTCGAAAAAAACAACAGAAGGTTGATGAACCTTTGAAGTCTGTGTTGCCGACGTTTCGACCATCCTGTCGTGGTCTTCCTCAGGGCTGGTATGTCAACAAGACCACGACAAGATGGTCGAAACTTCGGCAACACAGCCTTCGACGCGGCGTCACCCGGACAGCCCAGATCACGTACAAATAAACTCGCGTTCTCACAAACGCCTCTGGATCTTCTCACGTGCTGTGTTCCCTCTCTGTTCGCAGATGCATCTCTCGCCCGTTCGATCGGCGCAGCCTGCGCCCCCGGCAGCCGCATCTTTCTGCCGCCGCATCTGCTCCGCCGCAGCATCCGCCGCCTGCTCCTCCTCCTTCGCAGCTGCAGCGGCGTCGCGGCGCGCATGAGCGTGTCGACGTCGTGTATGCGACTCGCCGTCGCCGCCGTCCATCATGCGACTCGCCGCTGCCGCCAGCTGACGCCGCCGCCGACGCTTCTCCAACGCTCGCGTTCGACTGCCCGCTGCATCGACCCGCGCTCTCCCGCGACTTCGACCCGAGTTATAATTATCCGCCCTCGACATACTCCATGGAAATGCGTGGGATGGCTGCGCGCGCCGGCGCACGTGGTTCGGCCGTTGAGCGGCGTTGGTGAACGGCGTTGCTGGTGTACCGCAAGAGCCAATGAACGGACAGCTGTGTTAGGTGTACGATCGGTGCGACGTGATGTATAAATAATTACGATTACTCCGTGTGTGTGTGTGTGATTTCAGATTTATTTAAGCGATATGCGTTTTCACCTTTCTACTCCCGTAACTAATGACGAGTTTATTTTGAAGTCGATGACAGACTGTTTGAGAAGACAGAATAGTGATTCGTGTATAATAGTGACATCGATTCCTTATCTCTATGGTGCTTACTTATCATTTGAGTAATATATTTTTTTTATTTGTGACAAACGTTATCATTTATAAGACTGTAACTCGACAGCTGCATAAAATATCAGATATATCTCAGAATACCTTGACTGTACCGCGTTAAGAGGATTCGCAATCGTCGTGACTGTACAGTGTACACAATTTTTATTTCGAATGTGTCATTAGTCAGTAATTGGTATTCTGCAAATTCTTTCACGGTACGAAATTCCAACGCCTCTCGTCTTCACACGCAGCCGCGGGTCAAGCGCTACTTTTCAGGCCATCGCGGCAACGCGCCCCTCCCACTCCCGTAGCGGTCGAATTGATATCGCACAGCGACCCCATTCCTTCGGCCGCCGCTGACACTCTATCATTGTGCCTGCGTGGGAAACGGCAGTTATTCCGACTGCTCGGGAGGGTTGCCGCCTTCAACCACGCGGTCCTCGTCTGAGATTTGGAACCGTACGTAACAGCGGGATTAGTTCCGGCGGCCGTTGTAACAGGACCGGCAGATTTTTATCACAAGTAGGTGAAGGCTGCGCGGCGTGAGACGGCGGTCGGAGAAGGGTAGGGTACCGGTAAGAACGTTGGATAACAGGTAGTCGAGGAAGGACTGTAGGTGGTGGACTAATGAAGTGAGGAAAGGTATACAGAGTAAAACAACATAGAAGCGGACTGGAAGAAGAAGATTCGGTGGACGGGAAAAAAAGTGAGTTGCGTGCCAACCGAAGATTAGGCACAAGTGCGAAGTCCTGAGATCCAACCGAGTGGCGGTGAATCAAAGTGCGGGGAGCGTCGAGGTGCGTGGTGGTCGCGCAAAGCGCGCGCGCGCAGCCATTCCGTCGCTGGAGAGGCAGGCGGGCGCGGAGCCCGCGCGGGGGCCCAGGCGCAGGCGGTTTTCGTGGGCGAAGGCGGCGGCGTGCGCGACGCCCATGCGGCCGTGCGCCGAGCCCCCGCCGCCGCAGCCGGCGGCGGCCGCGCCGGCCGTGGCGGCGTCGGCGCCGACGTCGTCCGGCGTTGACCCCGAGCAGCTGCGCGCCGTCTTCCAGCTGTGCGACCCGCACGGCACGGGCTTCGTGTCGCTGCACACGCTGCTGCAGCTGGGCCGCGAGTACTGCAGCGACCACAACGCGCAGGTGAGTCACCGCCACGTGCGCTCGCCGCAAGCAGCCACGAGGTTTTCGCGGTGCTTTGTGTGTTGTTTCGTTTCGTCTCTCTCTCTTTCTCTCTCTCTTTCTCTCTCTCTTTCTCTCTCTCTTTCTCTCTCTCCCTCTCTCTTTCCCTCTCTCTCTCCCTCTTTCTTTCTTACTTTCTTTCTTTCTTTCTCTCTCTCTTTCTTTCTCTCTCTCTTTCTTTCTCTCTCTCTTCTCTCTCTTTCTCTCTTTTTCTCTTTTTCTCTTTTTTTTTGTCCAACCTCCGGCACGGATGAGGGGGATGAACAAGGTATTTCTGGAGGTTATATTGAAAAGAATTAATGGGTGGTTCCCCAAAGAGGGAGTTCACCTCTAATTTTGACAATTGCTTCATATCTTCTAGTTGTAGATATACCACAAATGTTTGTGTTGTTTTCAGATAAAGAAAAAATATTTTTGATAATTAATGTAAATTATGGAATTTACATTAATCATATCACAATAAGTTACTTTTAATATTATTAATTACATTAATATTATTACAAAAAAGTCTTCTCTTGTATGAATGACTCTTTTTGAGTTATTCCTTTTTATATAAAAATACTCTGTCAATAGAAATGCAGGTTTACTGCTCTGAACGCCGTGACATCCACGATAATTGTAAGATCTCCGGAACCTTTGAATCATAGACTTCTCCAGTAGCTACTTTTGGCCTGCTAACCGTGGTAAACAATTTGTGTTGTCCAAATACGATGTAGAAAGCACCTGTTTCAATCGTAATTTGTTGTTTCGGTTTCTAGATTTTGCACTGTCATAAGCTTCCTGGCCGTTTCATTCCTATCATGTCGATTCCTTTTTATCAAGAGGCAAATTTGAAACCTCTAAGACGTATGAACGTGGTGTCTTCATTCAGAAAAAACGTTTAACCATTCAATTCAATAATTTCGTAGTTGAAGCCGTATCTTAACTCTTTTCTTTCTCTAAAGTACGATTAATTTAGTTTTCTTTTCTTCATTTTTTTTAGTATCCTCATTTTGGTACGTTGTCCAAATTTTTTCTTTACTGTTCTTGCCTCTTTATCAAGTGATCGTTTTGTCCCATACTTTCAATGTTTACACCCTTTTATTTTATTTTGAAGCATTTTAAACGAACTTTTTATGAGCACTTGTGTTTATAATACACGTTTGCAAATACACGTAAAAGTTTGTGCCTTCAGCGCATTTGAAATAAGTTTACGTAATATATATATTTTATGTATATATTTTCTATTGTTTTCCATATATTTTCCAAAATATGGAACTGGAAAATATATGTATTCCATATATTTTCCAAAAATATATTTTCCATTGAATGCACTGTGTTACGTGCATTGTTTTCTGGAACACTATGGTTTATTACATTTCTCAAGCTGCATTTGAAATTAATATGTATGATTTTTGTTTCTATTTTCAATAACTTCTTACACGTTTGCTACCGATGATAAAACCATACTTATTTACATACCTTCTTTACGTACTGTACGTCAATAAAATGTCTGGTAATTTTGCGATATCAAAGACCAGACATTAAAGTTATTGTACTCTTTTGTTTGTGTATAATGTAGACGTTGATGTTCCTTTTATCTCTAGAGGAAACATGTTAATTAATCCTCCTCTGCGGGTGCAATCGGTCTCTTTCATTCGACCGCAGTATATTGCCACACGCCACACGCCCGGCAATTGTCCCCTTTGCTATCTGTGCGCGGTTCCCTTGGCTCCGTTCCATCCACTCAGCCCCCTGCTGAACGTGCGCTGCCGCCGGCATATTTATTCTCTGCGGTTCCCTGATGTTTGGTCCAATGCTCTATATTAAAAGCGTAAGGGCCATGCGGAAAAACGCGGTAAGATGTAGAAATGGACCCCGAGTTTGAGATATCTGAGGACACGGTCTGGTGAAACATTGATCTGAGATGATTTTTGCGTGGTAGCTGGCGCAAACAATCTCAGTTATATGTAATTATGTTCTTAATGGTTTAAATATCGCTGGCAGGGGTGGATTAATGCATAGACACAAAAAGCGTATACTTGTTCTTAGGGCGTCAGACTCGATGGGTGCTCCTAATAATTTTTAAACAAAATTTTATACTTCGAATCTCTATAAAAATATTTTAATTTTGATTTTACTAGTTTCAAAGATTATTTTCGATTCACTTTGATTCATTTGTAAAATAATCGATATTATCGGAATATGGTCATGCTTAGGCTCTTATGACGAAACATTTTATATATTCTCATAGTATGATGTAATATGTTCGCATATTATTCATAGTAAATCGATATAATCATTATATGTTACATGCGGTTGAAATATTTCTTGACATGTTTGTTGCGAAGTGAACTGCCACCGCAATATTGACACACGTGGTTATCGGAAGAAGGCGTAATTTTTTCGTAATTACTTCGCTCTCCATTTTCTCACTTTCCGAAGGACATTATACCTTACGTACGTCGACATTAAGTTAATCAGTGCGAAATTTCGCGTAAGTTTGTTATAACGTGTGAAATAATTGTGAATTGTAGAATAACGTTCACTCTCCTCACTAAAAACTATTTTCCAGAACATTATACAGTCCTTTATATATTTTCGACTCCATTTTTGAGCTACTTTTTCACTTTAATCGATCATCTTTGAAGAGCATTCCTCCTCACCGACTTGCGAATCCCTCGGTCGTAAAGTTAGCGAAATCAACACACTTTTTTCGCATTACACGCAACACAAATGACACTATCCGATCCTCACGGGTCACCGTTTCTCGACGTGGGACCGCAATGCTTTTGGCTGGTGTTTTTTCGTTCCCTAAGACGGCTTTAAATTATTCACCCTAATTCCATTGTGTTCAACCGTAATTACACTATTAGTAGTGTGTGAAGACACAAAGTAAGTCGTTAGTAAGACTATTAGGAGGAGTGCGGGCGTCCGTTAGGAGAAGCTGTGTTCCCGAGGGCCCTCGCACGTAATGTTATGCAGAGTTAACGCGGCATCCCTGACCCAATACGGGCGCCGGGCGGCGTATCAGCGCTGACCCGGGCGAGGTCGCGCCGGCCGGCGCGGCGGATCCCGGCGGCTGCGCTTCATTAAGGGATCCGGCGATGGCGGAGGACGAAGAGGAACAGGAGGAAGGAGGAGTACCAGGAGGAAGGAGAACAAGGAGTTGGAGGAGGCGGAGAATTAGTTGTTGTTGTTGTTGGGAGGAGGATGAAAAGGACGAGAATGAGTAGTTGGAGAAGGGTGAGAAAGAAGTTGGAGGAAGAGGAGGGTAATAAGTAGTTGGAGGAGGAGGAGAATAAGTAGTTGGAGGAGGAGGAGGAGGAGGAAAATAAGCAGTTGGAGGAGGAGGAGGAGGGAAATAAGTAGTTGGAGAAGGAGGAGAATAAGTAGTTGGAGAAGGAGGAAAAAAGTAGTTGGAGAAGGAGGAGAATAAGTAGGTGGAGAAGGAGGAGAATAAGTAGTTGGAGAAGGAGGAGAATAAGTAGTTGGAGAAGGAGGAGAATAAGTAGTTGGGGAAGGAGGAGAATAAGTAGTTGGAGAAGAAGGAGAATAAGTAGTTGGAGAAGGAGGGGAATAAGTACTTGAAGGAGGAGGAGGAGGAGGATGATAAGTAGTTGACGGAGGAAGAGAATTAGTAGTTGTTAGTAGGAGGATGAAGGGGACTAGAACGTGTTGTATAAGGGTGAGAAAGACGTTGGAGGAAGGGGAGGAGAATAAGTAATTGGAGAAGGAGGAGAATAAGTAGTTGGAGAAGGAGGAGATTAAGTAGTTGGAGAAGGAGGAGAATAAGTAGTTGGAGAAGGAGGAGGAGAATAAGTAGTTGAAGGAGGAGGAGGAGACTGAGTAGCTGGAGGAGGTGAATGAGGAGCTGGAGTTGAGTAATACAAGTAAGACAAGAAGTTGGACGAGAAAGATAAGAAGATGGAGTAGGAGGAGTATAAAGAAGAGGAGGAGGCTCTGCAAGAAAAGTTTGAAGCTGATAGTATTGACGATGAAGAGGAGGAGGACGAGGGGTACGAGCTACAGGAGGACGAGGTCGGAAACGAAAATGATTAGAACTACGAGGAGAAAAAGTAGCCGGAGGAGGCAGAAGAGAAAAGCCTCTGTGACCAAGAATTGTAGATGGTGTCTAGAGCGGTTGCAGCACGCGAATACTGAAGTTAACGAGCTGAGTTCGTGGGCCGACGCCGAATTCAAAGTCCTTCTCACCCAGGGCCTCGCGATCTTGGCGTCTCTCTCTATTGCTACGTCAGCTACAAGACGTGGCGTTAGTAGAGACATGATATTTCAATATTCTCGGATCTTTAGAATTTCCCCCTAATATGCAATGCGCGAATATGTTACGTCTAAGATCCGCAATATGACCAATTACATACTATCCACCTGGAGTCTGATGCCTGATTATCACATAAAATGAACATAATCAAATCTGAACATTAAGCATTATCATGTATTTGCATCTGGTCTTCCTTCTCACCGTAATGTACTTCGCTGACCGTAGTTATTTCGTGGTGTCTAAAGTGCATTTCATTTGGCTTAAGTTCGGAACTGCCTTATTATTGAAAGCTATTCGTTCCTTCCTTTGTTCCTTATTACTTTATCTATCCATTATGGATAATGTGTTCACTTACGACTTAATTTGCGAATTCTCTGGATTCGTACTTAAGCCGTAACGTGTACATACCACGACGTGGTAGGATGTTGCGCAGCTTTATTTGAAATAAACATTTACAGAATTGCATTCAATAACAAGGATTTACTGCAACTTATAATGAGTTGTTTGAAAGTAAACGACGCAGACGCTATTTTAATATTTATTTTTTATAATTAGCTATTAAGAGAGGTGCATGCCCATTTTGTTTACATTGTTTACAAATTTGAATTGACCTCCTAATCTATTGATTCCCTTGACCTTCTGATCTCTTTTGATGATTGCTTTAAGTTTAGTGCTCTGAACTCGTACTCACTGGGCTCAACTCACGTAAACCCTCTGGGCGCAGCCCACACCCACGCGGAAACGAAGCAACATGAACTAGTTGGCCTCCCTTAAATAATCGAATCCTGTCGCAGTAGACTGTAGGGTTCCATCCATTTTTACGACTCCTCAACCAGTTATGAAATTTCTAAATAGCGTCATCATCGTCGCCATTCTTTTATTCATTCATTCATTCCAATCTCTTCCCCCACAATATAAAAGGTTTAACGAGCCAACAGTGTTAAACCTTTGCGTCACTTCCATATGGTGACCCCAAAACAGGATAAAGCCGCATCGTGTAGATTTTTGTCACCTTCAATTACTGCCACAATTATTGCTATCTCTTTCCTAACACAAGCGTATGCGATTAGCAAATCCTATATTTGCTTATTCGAGTGTGAAAGTGACTAATCGGTTTGTGTTTTGTATCAATCAAACATGTACTAAATAGATATTTGCGAAAGAAGTTCGGAATTTTTAGAAAGTTTATAAACTCTAGCGGGCTACCTAAACACGTTTTCAGTGGGTCCTGTTTAAAGAATGTTAAAATTTGCATGCGTATCTTAGATAAATTACAATGTTTATGAATATTGAATATAATAGTTTTACGAATGAGGAGTAATGGCGCAATAGTAGCACGAAAGCCAATGTTTTCATAATATTTACGACAACTTTATTATAGGAAAATATTGTAACGCTTATAAGCTGTATATGAAGCTGTGCATTTGACGTTCATTTATTACGTGTCTACTTGTTCCTAATAGAGAGACACGTATGCTTCAAGAAGAGCTTGCTGTAAAGAAGGAACTTGGAAGGAACTCCACATCGTCGTAAAGCGCATGCCAGGCGACGCCTATTCGTTACTCCTAAGTTACAGGCTTGGATTAAGTATGAAGTACTCCATGCTGATGCATTGACACGTGACACTGAGAGTTATTGCGCAAGAGAAAGGTCGTACGACTGAGTAATACGTTTTAAAGCCCCTGCTAGCCAAAGATTTAATGGCAATTTTATTGTTATGCTTCCGTCAAACATAAGCACACGTAAAGACATTCCAAGCATTTTTATGGTAATTATCGTAGTGAATAGCTTGGCTATGGGTGTAGGGATCATGTACGCAACTTGTTCTACATTTATATCAATTCTTTATTTTATTTTAGTAGAGAAATGGTTATAGCAAGTATTTAAGAAATTCGAGAAACGTATGTAAAATACATGGATGTGGAAAATTCGGAATATTCGCGAATTCAGAATACGGACATTCACGATTTGAAAATAATTGAGTTTGTAAATAAGCGACAAGTGAACCAGTGCATTTATTCTTAAGAGTATGTCAGATCATAATTTTATAAACGATTCCTGTTAAGTCTTGGTTGCGAATTTAGCCATAAACTTTGATTTGTAATGTGTTTTGTTCTTCTCCATACCTTTAAGTATGGTTTATTTTCTGCGGCTTTGTTGCGATGAAGATATTATCTCCGGTGGATTCCAGGGATTCAGATTCGTAGATACTCGTATTAGATTTTGTAGTGGTTATAAAGTCCTTTTGAACTAATCACAGTCACACAAAATGTTTAATCTTCGTAACAAATAAATTTAGCAAATTGAAATATTTAATCGGTTGGCTTGATTTAAAAGTGCCAATCTACATCTTTTGTAGACATTGTGAAAAATAGTAAACTGTACTATATATCCATTAAAACTTTATCATTTTCTTCGTAAAAACAAACAACTCTTCCAAAGAAAAATGCATCTTTGTAAACAACACTACACCGACCGGCACAGCACCTTTTGAGTCCTCCGCCGTAAAATAACCTTTCAAAACAGCCCAGCAACTCGTCTCCCTTTCGGAGGACATCCCTTATGCAGTACACACGTGTTCATTACTTTCATCTTCCTTTCTACGAGGATGGTGTGTATTTGCCGCGGATCCAAACACTTTCCGACGCCAGCATATTTACTCTAGAAACATTCCTTTCCGGCCGCGAGCCTTCATTCGTCCCTGCCGCCCTCCCGGCCTTCGGAGGCGCGTGTATTTCGGGCGCGGCTTACGCCTCGAGCTTTCAGCCGGCCACATTTCTTGCTGGAAGTGCGGCCCCGACTCCATTTCGGGAACTGCCCGTAATGGATTGCTCCCCTACTCATTTCGACCCCGGAGCTATCTGTCACTGTCATCGCGCGATCGCATTCTGTTTCCAGGTAGCGCGTGAACCCGAGACATACGCATGGGGAGGGCGATTTGAGCGAGTCTCTTGTGCTAAATGCACTAGATTCGCGAGTGTGATGTTGCTTTTTTTTTAATTTAATGAATGTGTTGTGGGTTTTCTTAAGCAGCTACAGCAAAGCGTCCAATCCGGCATTGGTGTTAAAGTATAGGATATCATTATTTGTTTTTCTGCGTGTTGCGTAAAAACACAGTTGTACATATATGACAATGAATATAACCAGTGTTTGATTTATAAAATATTAGGTTCCGGAACGCACCCCAAATTAATTGTTATTTAAATTAAAATAGTTTTATATTTATAATATAATCTAATAATTTTTCCTGAGGTACCGGGACGCTGTTCTGTTGCGTTCCACCAGAAATCAAGCCCTGAATATAGCTAGTAATTTTCAAATCACGATCCATATTATTATTTCCTGAAATAGAAATTATAAAATTTGTCATTGAAGTTCGTGACTGCATTTGAACAGTTTTCATTATTCCGAATGAAGTTATGGATTCACTACTAGCGAAAGTTATTTTTTCCATACAATAACAGTTTGAATTATATCGTGTTGTGTAAAGAGGGGGAGTCAAAAACCAAGTATTCGTTATGAAAACTAAATCGTGACAAGATGTTTTCAAATTATATTTCTTCAAATCTTAACTGGGATAAGTCAACGTGCTACAAATATTGAAAACACATTAACGGTATATATACTGTAGGAAAATAGTCGGATTTTAATGAAAATTCACATTTATGATGGAAAATCTTACTATTGTTTGAAACATTAAACCTAACTATGATTGCCACATCATGACAAGTATTTTGGATTTCTAACATTGAATTCTGATCTCATGCACTGTATGAGTGCAATCATTCTACCGCGACAAGTCGTACGGTCTTGGAAAGGCCCGGTCACCTTGTCATTCTCGTCTAGTGTTGGCGTGGCCCAGTAATTTGCATCGTTGCGCGAACAAACACACGTAGGCGTTACCTTTTTGAGAATTGCGCGTGGGTTTTACGACCAGAGATCATGCCGTAAAAAGGTGTGGTTTAATTAAATACATTAAATGTATATATTTTATCCGTTTAGACTAGGACAATAAATAAAACGCTACATATTCGTGGACTGGGAATATTTCATTTAATTGCAAATATAGGTATTATATATTTCAGAGGAAATTTCATGTATGGAATTTACAATGATGAGAGTTTTATCTGTATTAATATCGCTAATATTTCTCGCAGTTACGAACTTTTGAAATATGCATAGTATTTACTATTTATTCTTTCCTTACAATCGAAATAAACTAGCCGATAATTCAGGACGAGTACTGCCAAACATTCAAAATTCATAGTTTCTTTGAGAGAAATGTCTGTCCCGAATGTTTACATACAAACGATATTCGAGTTTCTCTATGTAGTATTCTATTCGATAATTGTAGCGTTTTCACTGATATCTTTCCAGGATTCAAGAGTCCGCAATAACATTACGTAGAGACAGTATCGCGAGTGAAACAAATTCGTTGTCTTCATTCCGTAATGAAGTGTGCCATTTAGAATAATGTTTAGTAATGCAACTAAAAATAATCTCTGGTGACGGAATGGGCAAAACAGTTGGTCGTCATGTGCAATGAAGGTTCCAAAGTAAATATTGTGTCCTTACTTTTAAGAAAAAATGCCTCTTTAAAAAATGCTGATGTGAACTTTTAGAGTTAGAATACATTTTATGTACTATATAATTTTTACAATAATTTCTGTTAGTTTGTGTCTTTTTATTGCTTATATGCCTTTTTGGCCACTATTTTAGTCGGGATAAATGCCATTT